ATAAAGAACACCACACAATATACTAAAAGGTTCAAAATGTTGATGGGGAAAATTCTTAGAAATTTTGGACAATTCCCTTTTCACCAAAATTGGCATCGCTACCTCACTTTTAGTATCAATCAAATGCAAGTAATGTTTCAGAATATTCAAAATGGCCCTGTCAGCTTCTTTCTTTTGCTTCTACAAGAGAAATCCTTGATGCAGGCTTCCCATTGCTGTTCCCTTTGGCCCCTTGATCAAACTGTAAAATATAAGCTCATTGAAATCTGGTTCATGCTGCTGACTTCATGCTTTTAAATTGAAAACAATAATTTCCTGACTCCTTTCTTTTTCACTCTTAATTCATTTTTCTAAAACCAGACAATAGAGTGAGTGAGTGAATGAAATAAAGACCTTGGCAATCCTGGATCTTAATCTACCTACCGAAGACCAAGATTACAAGCTTTTATAAAATATGCAGGAATCTGGCCTCTGCTTTTCACAAATAGCTTTGCTGATTATTTTCTGATTTTCAGTTTGTCCTGTTGGAAAATGTGAGTGCGATCAGCTATTGCCTTATATTTATGCAGGGCAGTACTTTCTTCCAAGGAGCTAGAAACATAGATAGGCAGAATGTGGCTATTGCAAACAAATTTGATTGTTTGCCCCACATACTAGTTGCTTCTTCTGGGCTATGGAGCACCCTATAGCACCTCTAGTAGTCAAGGTCTTGAAGGCAGGAGCAACAAATCACATAGCCTGTCTCTTTTTATTTTGCAGGCAGTTCTGTTTGGTCAATAGTTTGGTGACAATGACAGGGGAGAGAGTGGGGAAAACAATGGAAGTAAGGCCAAAATGGGGCAAAAAGAATTATTGATGTCCTTTTGCACCTCACTTTCTTTGACAATCAAAATGCAGGCTCACATACTTTCTTTTTTTAATCTCAATAATAATTGTGAAATGTCTCAAAACAGAGTTTTACATGAAGGGACAGAAATTAACTAACTCAGGTTTTCTACTCTCAGAGATGTCAAAAATATTAACACCATTCTACATACTTGGTATGTGATTTTAGGATCTTATCTGCAAAATGATATCATAGCCAAGGATACAAATAAATGATGTAAATATATATGGCTGAATTTATTGAAAATGGGGTTAGTAAAAATAGACTATTACTCATTTCCCTAAATAGTTTTATTTTTTTCCTAAATATCTACTTTTATGGGGAAAGTTGGAGTATGTTGCCTACTTGTCCTTAAAATTATGGAAGCCAAATAGAATTTTCTAAATTATTTACCAATCTGAGTTATCCATTTTTTATCATCTCAAATATTTTTGTTTTGCACAGTTTTTGTGTTACTTGATATAAATACTAAACATTACATAGACTTTAAATTGTAAATCCAATAATACGAGAGGTTACACTAATGACTTCTAAGATTTATTGATTGATTATTTTACTCATAATTTATGTAACACTATGTATACAGAATTTCAGAAAATTGTGGATGAATCAGGCATACATCCTTACTTCAGGAAACTAAGAGACTAGTAAAGGAGAAGACATTTATGTAGATAACTTTGGCACAAAGTTGAAAGAATAAATGACTAGAAAAACGATACACATGCTGTTATATTTATGAAGGGCTCATCAGCAAATGGGGTTTTTGCTAATGATTTACACACGTGAGATTTCAGGAAAAGGCTACTTTAAAATAGAATTATACACTGAGCATGGTGGCTCACACCTACAATCCCAGCACTTTGGGAGGCTGAGGTAGAAGGATCACTTGAGGTCAGGAGTACAAGATTAGCTTGGGCAACATAGCAAGACCCTATATCTACAAAAAAAAATTTAAAAATTAGCCAAGTGAGGTGGCAGTGCATGCTTGTAGTCCCAGCTACTCAGGAAGCTGAAGTGGGAGGATCACCTTGAGCACAGGATTTCAAGGTTACAGGGAACTATGATCAGTCCGCTGTATTCCAACCTGGGCAGCAGAGCAAAACGCTGTCTCCAAATAAATAAATAAGTGAAATAAAATTTTTAAAAATAGAATTATATAATTGAGAAAGAAGATCTAGTTACTTTCACTCTGTAGGGAGGTAACGTGAAAGACTAAATTTATAAAACCTTGTATAGAACTTCAATAACATATGTGCCCATCTAAAGTTTTATGTAAACCCATATCTCCATTTCATAAATACTTATAAAATTTATAAATAAAATTGCACAAAAAAGAAGCCAAACAAAATATATCTTTTTAATGTTTATAAGAAAAAATTTTATTAAATTTGATACATAGATATTATAGGAGGTAGCATTTTTTTTTTTTTTTTTTTGCAAAACCCTGAATATAAAGAAAGATCCCATATGGGAGATCTTTGAGATCTCTCTGAGTGAGTGGTAATAACTGTGTACAGTCTAAGCATAAAAAGACTGAATTAATAAAGGAGGGTAGTCTTGGGGAATGTAGAAAACAAAGCCATTGAGCAGGGAAGTGTGGGAGTATGTGGGAATGCTGTGTTGCTGTGTTTGTACCTGAAGATGAAGAATGGTAGATTCAGTCGTAAGGTTGGGATCACATTATACGAGACTTCGAATATTGGGCTACACGATACAGCTATTTCCGGGATGGCAGTGGGAAGCATTTGAATATGAGCACATGATATTTAAGTTGTCCCTTAGGGAATAGTAAATTAAACTATAGTATTTTGAATGCAGCAGAGTGAGGAGACATGTTAAAATGTTACTACAGTAGTTCAAGTGAAGACTGATGATTAAACATTGAGTGACTAAATGAAAGTCATAGCAGTAGGCATAGAAAGAAAGGGATCATTGCACGATATTATCCCAGTGACAAAATCAATCATATATAAGATGGTGTGAGAAACTTTACCTCCCTCATTTAGTTTCCCTTGAAATATAAAAATGACCCTCGCTTTGGAAGACTACTGAACAAACACTGAGCAATCTCAAATAATGGACCGAGTGAATATTGAAAACAGCTCTAGTTATCAAACCACATCAATTTGAGTTTCTCCCTGTTCTCGAAGGAAAAGTTCAAAGTCATGTACTCAGAGTACTTTTAACAGTACTATGCAAGTGTCGAGTTGACTAAAAGCACGTACTTCCATCTGATGTCAAACATGCTGCCAAGGTTTAACTTTACAATGAAACCACAGTGTGCCAAACAGAAAATCAGAGCACCACGTTTCCTTTGAATTCCAATGCGCCAGTTGACCTGCGGATACATATTGTCCTAGTTTTGGAATTAAGGAGGGCCCTCACTGGGGCCATTTGGCTCACAGGGTGAATAAGCCTGTGTATCTGAGCTGATATTTTTATGTCAGTGATTTACTCGACTGTCTCCTCAAATTAGGCTTCGACTACCCTACCTTTCTTTATGTCAGTCGTTCTTGCTGAAGTCTAAATAAAGGACATTTAATCTAATCAAACTATAGACTAAAAATAAACAATAAAGGGGAAAAGCCTATGTTATTGGAATTTCAAGGGCTCTTTTAGTTGGGCCAACACCACTCCCGCTGGGGGTCTTCCAGTGGGATCGTTGGTAAGTGTATAAACAAAAAGCCAAGGACTATCAAGTAATTGTCTGGCAATATCAGAAAATTTCCATCTTATTTAAAAAGAAAGCACCCATTGGTGTCAGCGAGCATAACATAACAGTGAGGAAATTCACATTGGCATAGAATGACTTTTCCCCATTAGGCTGTAAAGGGCAGGCTGAGTTATGTTCCTGCCTTGCCAAACGCATTTCAGCTGAAGTCAAGAAAGTAGAAAATGCCTGGATATTTCATTGTTTAATGAAGAACACCAGACATATAGAGAGACATGCAAAAGGCAGGAATTTATTGACTGACAAACATGCTCAAATGGAAATGGGGAACCAGAGGACTGGCCGGAGAATAGATTTTCCTGTAATAGTTTGCAACTGAAAGTTCCTGGAAAAGACCACCCTCCCAGAGAATGGAGAACTACTCATGTATGCATGGCAAAGGCAATCTGAATAGCCCAGATTTTCAAACCAGACAATTTAGGAAATTATACAACTGGAATTTGAAAACTTGCATTTCTACTCCATATATCACAGAGCACTGGAGTTCTTATCCCATAATCTTTTAAACATGAAGTTCCTCAAGAAAAGTGTCTAGTGAAAATTGTTTTTTCCCAGCCTTTGAGATCTTTTATTAATTTGAAGTAGCTGGGAAATTTGTGAATTATTAAACAGTCTGTACCATAGAATGTTTCTAAACTAGTTATTTTATTGAAGGGGAGAGAGAGATAGAGAGATTGAGATTGCTCACTTGAGGGAAGAATAAAGAGAACTCATTTACCAGTACTTTGCACATGGAATTATTAATAATTCACATCTCAGGGTAGTCTACTATGGTAGGTATTTTGCACTGCATTGCATATCTAGGGAAAGAGAAATTAAGAGTTTAAATACGTTGTCCAAGATAACATAGATAGAAGAAACTCACTAGAAGCCTCTGGCCCACGGGCACCCCTGGGGTTCTTCACTACATGCTCAGCACCATAAGAGCTGATAAGGAAAAGCTCCTTCAAATTAGTGTAATGACTTGAGATTTATTTGTCACTGTCATTCCAATGGTTATATTCAAGTGGATGCTTTTAAAGTACTTGAAAATAGTATATTTTATAATTCATCATATCACTCTATGAAGACATCTTTTCCAGTTCTGCCACTGCTCAACTGTTGACCTTAGTCAAGTTACTTAATCTCTCTGAGACTCACTTTCTTCATATGGGGACATGAGGACAAAATGGGGACAATGAAACTGACCTCATAGATAATTACATTAAGAGGTAATCCATGTAACACTGAATGGAGTGCCTGGCGTATAGTGATGGTCAGTTAAGGCTAGTGACTGCAACCAGCTTGGTTATGCTGCTTTAACAAACCACCAAAATATCAACAATTTAAAGCAACAAAGTTAATTTGTCATTCACTTCAATGTCAGTCATTGGTCAGCTAAGCTCTAAATTCAGTTAGTCAACATTCCAGATGAAGAAAGCTTCATTTCAAGGTGGCACACGCTTCCTGGGTCAATGCTGCAAGAGAAATGAAAACAATGACTCATGCGCTGGTGCTTAAAACTTTCACCTGAAAGTGAAACGTGATACTTCTGCTCACATTCCATTAGTCAAAGAAAGTTGTACTGCTCTGCCAAATTCACAGAGGGTCCATGTGCCCAGAGCCAATCACAATAATGATTTAAAATAATTTCTACCATTATTTTGCTAAAAGGAATGTAAACCTAAATTCTCTTTACCAAACATTATTTAGTCAAATCATTACTAATAAAAGCTTATTATCTTAGCAAATACAAGTAAGTAACTATCACTATCCAAATTTATTAATTTCCAAGTTCAACTACCAAGGTATTGGAACTCAAATATCAGTACCGTGTTTCCCCAAAAATAAGACAGGGTCTTATATTTATTTTTCCTCAAGAAGACACCCCAGGGCTTATTGTTCGGGATGTTATTTTTTTAAGTACGGTCAACATCTACACTTATTCAAATATAGTTAAGTCGTCTTCTTCTGGAACATCATTATAACTCTCCGACCCCGAATTCCATCTTGAATTTCTTTCGACTCTATTTCCTTTAGAACCATTGGCCCCGATCTCTCATGTCGAGCAATAGAGCTCTCACGGGGCAGATGAGAAGGGCTGCCGGTCTTCTTTACAGCTCCTCGACAAAATGCCTGGGTTGTGCAGACAAGGTGAGTAGCCACGCCCATCACTAGGTCTTATTTTTGGGGTAGGGCTTATATTGCACAAATGCTTAGAAATCCTGCTAGGGCTTATATGGGTAGGTCTTATTTTCGGGGAAACACGGTGATGGAAACCAAGAGAGGCACTGCACTTAACTGAAAACCTTCTTTCTTTATGTACTCTTCATGTAAATATCCCAGTTGTAAGAATTGTTCTATATTTGCATCTCTCTCTCTCTCTCTCTCTCTCTTTTTCTTCCCTCCTCTTTCCCCTCCCTCCATATATATATATATATATATATATTTAATATATATAATATATATGTGTGTGTGTGTGTACATATATATGTTTGTATGTGCATATATATTAATACATATACACATATTTTTAATTTTTTGAATCATTTTAAATTTGCAGACAGGATGTCCCTTTACCTCTAAGTATTTCGGTATACATTTCACATACACACACAAAAAGACATGCTCTAGTGAGGCGGGGAATGGGCATTTATTGAAACCTTAAAATCTGTACCCCCATAATATGCCGAAATAAAAAAAAAAGGCATGCTCTTATATAATTACAGTATAATCATAAGCATGAGGAAATTAACACCAATACAATACCAACCAGTTCATAGGCCCCATTCAGTTTGTGTCAATTGCCTCAATAATATTATTTATAAGTTATTTCCTTTCTAGTTTGAGATCTAATAATTTAGTTGTCACCTCTCTTTAGTCTCCTAAATTGGAACAGTCCTTAAGGTTTCACATTTTTCTTGTATTTCATAATCTTAATGTTTTTGAGGCATATAGACCAGTTACTTTGTAGAATATTCCTCATTTTGAGGTTTGCTTGATTTTTCCTAGATTGAGGTTATGCAATTTTTGGCAGGACTACCACAGAAGGTACTATCTTCTCATAGTACTATATCAATAGGCATGTGATACTGATTTTACCACTTGTTTAATCAAGTATCTGCCAGATTTCTCCAATTTAAGAATAACTAATGAGGCGTTTACATTTTATATATTTTAATAAAGACTTAATGGGAAGATATTTTATTACTATTTAATTATCCTGGTCCCCATCAAACATTCACCCTCTTGTTTTAATATCTTGTGATGATTTTTATCTGAATCAATTATTACCATGAGCCAAATAATCATTTTTAAAATCCATCATATCTTACTAGTTGGCATGCTACTCTAAGATAGAGATTTCCCTTCTTCCTTATTCATTCATTCACTCATTCACTCAGATCAGTATGTATTCATAGATTCATATTTTTCCAATCAGTTATAATCTATTACTATCATAATTTTTTCAATGCTAAAATTTTTCCAGATTTGGCTAGCAAAATCACCTATAAGCTGGTTTCTTGATATTTCTCCATGATTCTTTGAGCAATTCCTATTTTTTTTTCTTTTTTTACATAGAAAGATATTCAAGGTCCTTGTGCCTTTTTTTGTTCTAGTCTTGGAATCAGCTACTTCTCCAAGGATCTGTGGTTCCTTTTAGTTGGAAATAATAATTAGAAAACAAGGTCTGGGTTCTCAGTATGCTCCTTGCTACTGGGATGTCATTGCTTTCTAGACTTTCTCAGAGGATAGAACTAGGAAACATTTAGCCCTCCACCCCCAAACACACACTTACAAGTTTACTTACATGTGCATCTGCTTCTACATCCATTTATCTATTTATGTCAAAAATCATGAGTTCACACCAATACCTCCAATTTCAATTCAACTCCAAAAGCTTTATTCTGTCTTCTTTACCTCAAGTTTTCTGATATGTTGTACACGAGCCTCCATTGTTCTTGTCCCAGTTCCATGAGCTGCCTGAAGACCATTTTTAATCATAAAAAAATTTGGAAACTATAGTAAGGATTGAACAAAGAATATTTCTTTCTAGAGGTAGTCTTATTTTATTCACAGCAAAAATATATTCATGGAATAACCGTGGGACTGGAGATGGCAGAAAACTTTCAAGTTTGAATAATGCTTTGTACACTCACAAATTTACAAAGTGGGACAAGAAATAGTTTCTTAGTGTGATTTTTGAAGCTTTTTGTTACAGAATTACACATAAGAAGGCCTACCGAAGAATGTGGGGAATACATGAAATTTTTCATTAGCGTTGAATTGATTTCATTAATTTTTGTAAATGTTTATATTTTCCTTATGTATTATATATATAAGAGTAAAAAATCTACAGTGAAACTTCTGATTTCGGCCAAGATTGAGTAGCCTCATTTCTCCCAGATTCTCTGTTAAAAAATTATAAAAACCCTGTATGTACCACGACAAACAAGCATAGAAAGACACTGAAATCTAGAAACAAGGCAGACTGATTAGGGACCTCAAGACTTGAGGATCAACCCAGTGTTGAGTCACCTGAGTTTCCTAAATTGCCTTCTACATATCCTAAACAGGCAACTACAGAAGCCTTCACCCCCAAACTGCCAACAAGCACAGGCAAAACAAAACAAAACAGAAAACTTCTAGAATATTCTATTCCCCTTAGCCAAAGTATGGAGAAAGGGTGGCCTGTCAACAGAAAACATTTTTGGCCCTACTACAGCCAAACATTAATGATAAGACCACCCCACCCCCAACCCCACAGTTTCAGTGGGGCTGAGCAAGGAAATAATCATCCACCCTACCTCTCTACCCATGAAAGCAAGCAGTGACGTACTTTTTCCCCCACTGGGTGGTATCAGTTTTTTAAAGCAGGGAGCAGAGCCTCTACCCCACCCAATATCAAGGAGACTAGAAAAGGTGGTACAAATCAGGGCTAGTTAACACTTCTGGTGTCAGGCCCAGGAGGGAGCTGAACACCTTTACCCATTCAAAAGCAAGAAGAATGAATGCAGAGGTGCAACATGAAACTACTATAAACAGCACTCCATTCCCCCCACCATGGTCAACAGGGGGCAGTGGGAAGCTGAGCTGCCGTCTCCAATCTGGTATCAGTGAAGCAAAGCAACATGGTAGGAGGCAGGGCCACTTAGCACTCCACTTAATTTCTCCACTGGTGTCATCAAGATACAGTGAGGAGCTGAAATTCTAATCCAACTCTGCAGCAATAAAAGGGTAAATGTAAGCATAAATATCCACCTAGTTCTTACATTAAACATCAACAGAGTAACTTCCTCAAAAAAAAAAAAACCTAAATAGAATCCTAACTGTCATAATATAATACCTAAAATGTTCATAGTACTATTAAAAAAAAATAGGAAAATCCCCACCCAAATGAGAAAAGACAATCAACAGACACCAACACCTAGGTGAATTGGATGTTGGAATTAAATGACAGGATTTTAAAGCAGTCATCATAAAAATACTTCATAGAGCAATTAGAAATCCTCTTGACATAAATTTTAAAAATAGAAAATCTCAGTGGAGAAACAGCAGTTATACAAAAAGAAGCAAATTGAAATTATAGAACTGAAAAATATAACTAAGAATTTAAAACTTGCTAGGTGACCTTATTTATAGAATGGTGATGACAGTGGATAGAAGCAGTGAACTTAAAGACAAATTTATAGACTTTATCTACTCTGAACAACAGAGAGAAAATAGACTGAGAAAAAAAATAAACAGAATATTAAGAATCTGTGAGATAATAACAAAGGATCTAGCATTCATAACATCAGAGTCCCAGAAAGAAAGGAAAGAGTCTGATTGAAAAAATACGCAAAAATATTATGACTGAAAACTCTCCAAATTTGGTGAAAGACATAAGCCTATGCATTCGAGAGGACTAGCAAACTTCAAACAGCATAAACTCAGAGAAATCCAGGCCAAGATATGTCGTAATTAAATCTGCAAAAATTAAAAACAAATAAAAAAATGCTAACAGCCACCAGAGAGAAACAACACATTATCTGTAAGAGATAACAATTTCAATTACAACAAATTTCTCATCTAAAACCATGGAGGCCAAAAGGAAGTGGCACAGCATTTTTCAAGTACTAAAAGAAAAGCACTGTCAACTGAGAATTCTATATCAGGAGAAAATATCATTCAGGAATAAGGAGGAAGTCAAAACATTCTAAGAATAAAAACTATGAGAATTTATTGCTAGTATGCCTGCCCTAAAATGGCTAATGGAGTTCTTTAAACAGACAGGTAGTAATGACCATTGTGGACCATTGGTTCTTTTTCCCCTGTATAAAGATTCACTGGAGGAATAAAACATACACATTTTGTATTGAACAATGGAGTTATTGGAAAATCCTGGCTAAGATCTTGGTTCTGTTTCAAAGTGTGATACAAGCTGGAAAGTACAAGCTGTAGGTCTAATCCCGGTTTTCCCACTGCTGGTTTATGACAGAAAAGTGGCTCTACTGCAGCACTTCAGCACAAATGCTCACAGATGGAGAGCCAATGACAAATGACAGAGCATCTCGGTATTCGACCTAAACTTGATTTGAGATGGTCCCAGGGTAGCTTTCACTTCTCCAACTTCCCCCAACAAGTAAAGGAATATTACTTAGAAATATACCTGGGAGTACTCTTCTAGAAAGAATGCCAGTGATCTGAGATCTCCTGGAACTTAGCCCAGGACTATTCTGCTGGCAAGAAAAAAAGAGTTGGATCATCAATTTAGTTCAAAAAGTTCAGGGGTGAGGGTGGAGGAATAGTAGTTTGGGGTGTGGAGGTGTGATTTAAGGAGAAAAAATAACTTTTCCATTATTCCTCTGTCTGAATATTCAAAGTCTGGAACACATCAAAAGCAGTTAAAAATAAAATGAATTGTTATACTTATCTGTCATCCCAATGCAGTTTCCATATTATTTAAAATAGCAAGCTATCTTCGGGTGACATTATCCTTAGTGATGTGAATTGCAGTTTTCTTTATGATGTCAGGGCTTAGCTATTTAGTAAGTGGGAGGAAAACTATCTAACAGAATGCACCTTAATAGGAAGAAAATCAGTTGAACTGAATAAACTAGCATTTACATTCCCGCAATCTCTATTTTTCATCTAATATTAACCCCATGCTGTTGGAGCCTCAGCCAAGAACTGGATTTTATTCTTTCTGGCCCTGTGATTTCTTTTTAGTAAGAAATATTCAGGCTAAGACACATTAATAAATGCAAATAAATTTAGCTAGCATTTGCTTGGCTGATTCTCAAAGAGGATCAAGAAAGGAAATGGAGAACACCAGTGATAAACTATCCAACAAAGCATTCTGAAATTTGTTGCAATGTTGCAAGGGTGGTATTTTATAGTGGTTTAGATATATAATACATTTTATAGAATGTTCAGGAAAAAAATAAAATGATCAAACCATTTCCTTTTAGACATAGATGGCATGACCAGGGATTTAGCTGATATATAGTAAATATTCGAAAATGACTTCAATTCGTTTCAAGAAGAGAACAGGATAAGATTTGGTGAAGGAAAGATCTTTATAAAGTACATTGAAATATTTGGAGTTAGATCAGATTTCATTTGTGATGTAAGGGAAAAAATACTTAATATTTATTTTATGTGTTAAGGAGTTAATTAGCAGTCGGTAGACTGCTGCTCCAGTTTCTTACAATAGTCAAAATTGTATTATGCATGGGATTATATGTGCTTTATTAAATGACTTGTTAATATTACCTTCCCCCAAAAGGATTTGTGGTGAGAAATGACAGCCACTACAAGTGAACTAGACAACACCAGTCTTGCAATTCTGCTGCTCATTAGTACTCCATTACAATAAGCATGCCAGGAAAAAGGAGCACATTTAAACTCAGTATTTTTTATTAGTGTGGAAAAAAATAAAATGCAAACCCGAATATAAAATGCATTTAGTGGAGGGAGATTTCAGAATGGCTAGTGTTTTCATTTGTTTTGGTTTTTAATTTGATGAGGCTTTTTCATTTCGTTTTGCTCTGTTTAAACTCCTTAGGTCTTCTGCCAGTCACAATACTAGAGTCCTAAATAAGCTAACTGACATGATTTCCAGGTTGCCCAAATAGGGAAATAGTGGGATGCTTAAAGAATTTGATTAGTGCAGTTTATTTTCCATATCAAGTAACTTAGCTCAAGTTAAGGAAATTTCATAAGCATGACCTTCTAGAATTTTAAAGGAAGTGAGTGTAGTGAACCACCAAATCTCAAGGGTTTGTTTTAACCTCAGAAGTAATTCTATCTTTATAGTTAATCAGTGGCATAGTTAAAAATTCAAGAGAAAAGAGCCTATTTTGCCAGGAGTAACTATAGTTGTTTAAATTCAAATAAACAAGAAAAGCAAATGACTCAAAGACAGTAGTTTTCAAGAGCTTCACTGGAATTCATAAAAATCTTTCCTTTAACAGTGCTATATTTAGACCCACTATATGACCTTGGAATTTGAATTGACGAGGAAATGGTCATTTTAACTATTCTCCAGGTATACCCAAGTCCTTTGGAGTTTATGAACTAGAGAAAGCAATATGATGTGGTTCTGAACCTAAAGGTTTGCCCTTTTCTCTGACTGATGTGACCCAATGGGCTTTCAGAAAGAATGATCTTGGATTTAGACAGCCTATCTCCAGGTCTAGCATTCCTGTCCCCTCGCTTCATGACCTCACAAGTCTTTTAGCCTCTCTGAGCTCATCAGCAAAAACAGTCCCTAGAACACTCTCCCTGATTACTCCACATGGCTGTCATGAGATCACAAATGAACTAATAGGTATGAAACTGCTTTGTATAAAGTAAATCATTATACAAAGTATAATGTTCTGAATGTTCTGAAGAAACATACTCTATTTTCTTTCTATAACATGAATGTGAGCCAAATTAAAGCCATCCTAGTTATACAAATTGGTTAAACATGGCCCAATAGTGCTATCTGGTCATTTCTCACATTTGCAAATGAAAAATTAATTGTTAATATATCAATATCATGACTGAATCAATGGCTTCAAGGTCTTAGAAGAAAGTTACAGACTACATATTGGGTTGCCCTTGGGGTTTGAATAATGTGCTCTGAGGAATTAATAATTGTGTAAGACATATTTGCTGAATGAAGTGATGAGTAAACAAGTCTCATCCACAGAAATAAATCCAACCTATATATGCCAGAGTTGCAGGAAGAGCTACTCACACAAAGGTAATTGTCTTTTTTACACAAAATACCCCTTAGAAGAGCCTTGAGTTTCCATATTAGAGAACTTTATGTAAGTTAAAGCATTATCTCCTTAAGATCCTATGAACATAGATATTTGAGGGAATAGACTTAGTTTACTCCTCATGTATGCTTACTCTTTTTAATATTGCAAATAGGAAAAAGTAAATGTATTGCAAGAAATCAATCATTCTAATACCTGGATTTTGATAACATAGGTAGATTGTATGTCCAAGTATATTGTATGTCCAAGTATGACTAAATGTCATATAAGAGCTGCACAGGACACTTGTTTCTCTTAAAACAAACTTTTTTTTCCATAGAAAATGAGTAGCTTTAAATGCTTATACACATACTAGTCAAGACTTGTGTGCAAAGAATCCAAAATGAATGTAATTATGCTCTGATTTTATCATTCTTACTAATGGAATACTAAGGAAATGTGTTAAGTAGAAAGATTTAGGAAAAGATTTCACAGTATGAGAGTTACAGTTAAGTTGACTTTTTAAATGTGAAGAAACTATTCCAGTAGATGACTAAAAATAAGCAGAAAAATCTTAGTACACTCTATTCTGCCAGGTATGCAAAATAGCGTACCACTCTGCCTTGGAGTCTTAAAAAAAAACAAAAACTGGGTTACTCTTAAAGAATATAAACTTGGGAAAAGTTGAAATTCAGTAAAATTTAGTTCAAAACACTTCAATACATACTATATTTACCCTTATAGTTTCAAAGCTTAGTCCCGTTGCTTGCTGTCAGTGTGACAGTAATTAGTTTGGAAAAGCCTTGAGAACATTTTTGCTGATGACTTCTTTTTTTCCTATCTACATATCACAAAATTTCATTAGGTTAAGTTCAGAGTACAAGGTGCAGAAATCGATTATTTGATGCCCTTTAATGAGCAATAATTTGAGCAATCCATATTCTTTATAATATTGCCTTAGTATCTGAGGTTATTGTAAGCAGAGCCCTGGCATCATTATGCCCTGTAAGTAGGAACCTTTGGTGGAAGGAATCCCTGCTACCTACCTCTTTGTGATCCAGTTTTTCACTCTTCCATGTGCCTCTGTTCTGTGTGCTCTCTCTTTACCAGTCTGCATTTGGAGCCATTTCTACCACAAAGGATGGCCTCTGCTGGTATGTTGATCCATCTAGCCATCTTGGTGGAGAACTGAACAAATTCTTTTCAGCTAGCTTGGAATTATTGAGAGAGTCTTTACAAGCAAATAAAGGAAAAATATGGCATCTCTTTAAAGACCATCATCTGAGCACATCATCAGCATGTGCTCTTTCTTTTTCTATCAATAGAGCTTGCCCCTGATTTGAAATGCTTACATGTAACCCAAAGTAAAACCACCATCTCTGTCCTCAGTGACAGATTCAGGAGGAGACACAGAATCCAAGCTAGACTACACAAATGCTTCCTGGGATTTTGTATCTAGAACTTGTGGGAAAGTACACCTTTCATCTCTGAGGATGGAAATATTGGAGTGTGAAGCCAATTCTGTCATATGGTCACGATCTCCATTAGGTGGGTAAAGAAAGAAAAAAAACCCATCTGTTGTAGAAAGACAATATGAAATAAAACAAAATGCAGAAAGAAAAAGAAAGAACTGATTTGGTTTGAGGCTCCAGGCCAACAATTTCATCACCCTTTTGTGAGACAATAGATTCCTCCTTTTAACTTAAGTTTGTTTGAGATGATTTCTGTCACTTACTATTAAGAGTATTCCTACACATCTGATAAGGGGCTGATAACCAGAATCTACTTAGAACTCACAAAAATCAGCAAGAAAAAATCAAGCAACCCTATCAAAGTGGGCAAAGGACATAAACAGAAACTTTTCTAAAGAAGACAGAATAATGGCTAAAAAACATATGAAAAAATGTTCAACATTCCTAATCATCAGGGAAATGCAAATCAAAACCATAATGAGATATCACGTATTTCCAGTAAGAATGGCTTTTATCAAAAAGTCCCAAAACAATAGATGTTGGCGTGGATGCGGAGAGATAGGAACACTCCTACACTGCTGGTGGGACTGCAAACTAGTTCAACCTCTATGGAAAGCAATATGGAGATACCTTAAAGCGATACAAGTAGATCTGCCATTTGATCCAGCAATCCCATTGCTGGGCATCTACTCAAAAGATCCAATGACACTCTACAACAAAGACACCTGCACTTGAATGTTTTATAGCAGCACAATTCACAATCGCAAAACTGTGGAAACAACCCAAGTGCCCATCAATCCATGAGTGGGTTAATAAAATGTGGTATATGTATATCGTGGAGTACTATTCAGCTCTAAGAAACAATGGCAATATAGCACATCTTGTATTTTCCTCCATAGAGCTGGAACCCATTCTACTAAGCAAAGTATCCCAAGAATGGAAAAACAAGCACCACATATACTCACCAGCAAATTGGTATTAACTGTTCAGCACCTAAGAGGACATATAG